CTTTAATAAACTCTGTTAAACCTTTTACCAAGTCTCAGTGGTGTTCTGCATGTGGGTTTATCTCTAAACCGATCATGACAGTTATATAGCAACACAAAAGGATGCATAGTTCAGAAAAGGATGCAAAATGATGCATGGTTTTAAAATCACTCCCAAATGAAAATGAATATAAAACCTTTTTTTGTATTTACAGTCTTGTGAAAGACTGGCGACCGGTCCAGGGTGAACCCCGCCTCTCACCCAGAGATCTCACCCAGAGATAGGCACACCCTAATGGATGGATGGATGGATGGATGGATGGATGGATGGATGGATGGATGGATGGATGGATGGATGGATGGATGGATGGATGGATTTAGAGCTAAAAAAAAATTTAAGGAAGTATATATACTGAATGCTGATTATCTGTGGAAAAAAGATTATGTTTTAACAGATTTTCAGGTCTGTTTAGATCTGAAATTTGACTAGACCAGTGAGGAAATGGAATAAAGGATTCATTTTAATAAGCTCTGAAAAATAAAAAAAAAAGATTGATAAAGTTTGGTACGAATTAAAATAAACAGTCACTTTCTGATGCCAACAGAAAATAACAGATTCAGTGGCTTTTGAGAAAAAGGAATAATATTTGTGGATCTTAAACTGCACAAACTGACATCTAAGTATAAATTTTTCCGGACATGAGGGTATTTTTCTGTGGTTTCAGCAGCTAAGTCAATGAAATAAGACGATTTACACTAAAAGATAAAGAAAAAAGTGACTGGCTGCATATCTTATTTTCTTATTTTGAGGGAAAAAATACTAATTCCATTAAATTTGCACTTATTTTTAGATCTGTTTTGCGGTGTACACTGCAAAAACGATCTAGAAATAAGTAAAAAATTTCTTAAATTAAGTGTATTCACCCTTAATTTGAGTAGGTAAATGAGATAGTTTGCCAATGGAATGAGTAATTTTACTCTTGAAATAAGATAATTAGATAATTTGCATTTGAAATAAGAGAATGCAATTGTTTTTTCTTATTTTAAGTGTAAATTGTCTCGTTCCATTGGCAAAATGTCTCTTTTACCTCCTCAATTTAAGAACAAATGCACTTATTTGAAGAAAAAATGACTTTTGCAGTGTAGAGAATTGTGAAAGCAGTTCTCTATACTGCAAGCATCATTTTAAGAGTCTGATGTAGAGAAGTTATTTCTAAAGATAAAACCTGGTTTTCTCATTGATTTCTGTTTTTTCTCAGCTTTGGAACATCGAGTCTCTTGACTACAATTATATTTTTTCCAATAAATCATTAATTATTCTAAGAAAATCAATGCACATTTACTTTACTTTAAAAATCCTTCCTTAAATCCTGAAGACGTTGTGGGCTGATTTGAATTCAATCAGAATAAATCAAAATAAAGTGAGTGTGAACACAAACAGTCTCCACAAACGCTGCTAAAAGAAAAGACAAAAATTAATGTAGTGCCAGCAACACTTTTTTAAAAACTAATCCCTTTCCACTTTCCATTAATGCTCTTAAACTATTCTTTTCCTTTTTCATTTTTCATTTCATTACTTTGCCACCATAATTGGAAACAGCTTAATAAAGACTATGATCTAATGAGCTGATTCGCTTTCAGCAGACATTTTACATCAGACAATATTAAACAGAGCAGCTAAAGTGGCTTTAGGAGCTGAAATAAAGTGAACCCCTTAAGATGAGGTAACCAGTGAGATAATGAACCCAGAGTGCCTTCACTAAACATCAGGAATGCTGCTGAAGCTTCGAGGCAGAGAGGTTTCCATTTAATGCAGTCTGCAGCTTTCACAAATAGCATAATGGAAGTCATGATGTCATCCCCCCTTAAAGCTAAACTGTTTTTAACCCACATGCATCCTGTTAAATGGACTCCAAGCTTTTTAGATCATCATAGAGGATTTAGTGACCTCTAGGGGCCAAGTTGCAGGATTGCAACCTAGTTTAAAAGAATTAGGAGAAAAACAATCAACTGCACATTTCCAAAGGTGTCAAAAGTATTCATGTTTATTAGTCCAGTAGAAGTATAAATACTACTGTTTAAAAACATTTTGTAGAAGTAAGAGTATCAACTTAAGATTTTTACTCAAGTTAAAATGCAAAAGTACAATTTTTATTATTAATAATAACAATAATTTAACTTTGTTAATCTCAAATTAGAGAAATGTAGCTCTGCATTTAACCCTTTCCAATGGGGAACAGTGGGCTGCCATCGTGGGGCAACTGGGGGTTAAGGGTCTTGCTCAGAGACTATTTAAAGTATAAAAGTGAAAGTAATGCAGGAAAAAATGTTAAGCACAGATGCTTTACTAAACTACCCCATTAAAGGAAAAATGTTTCTACAATTCTTGACGACAACTTCTTTATACTTAATTTTCGTTGTTTTATAACTAATGGTAACAGTGCCAAAGTTAACCTTGCAACGATTTTTGTATGTGGCGAACAACAAGTTGGGGCAGCACCAACTCCAACTACAAAGAAATTAATCGTCTGAATTAAACCAAAACATTTTTTTATGGATTTTATTGTTCTTAAATGCCATAACAAAGATTAGCTTAATTGAAACAAAAGTGTTGAGTCTATTTTCAAAATGAAGCAGTAGAAGTAAAAAGTTGTCTAAAAAATAAATACTCCAGTAAAGTATAGATAGCCAAAATTTCAACCTAAGTAAGTTAACAAAGTATTTGTACTTTACTTGACACCTTTTTATTTTCAGTCAACCAATCTAACTAACTAACTAACTAACTAACTAGTTAGAGCGTTATCTTGAGCTATCTCTATAGTTATGCTGCTATAGGCTTAGACTTCTGGAGGACATAGGGACCACTTCTTCATCATTCTGCTTCATTCTATCTCTATACTCCCATTCTGCAGAATATGTTAGTTCAATCTCTAACGTTCTGCTTTTTCTCATAGTAGCTTCATCTGGTCTGTTCCTGTTTGGCTGTGACTCCATCCTGGAGAGAAATATTAGCTGTGCTGTTTCCATCAACACCTTAGTTTATAGATGCTGGAGATCGGCCTGTTTTCCAGTGTAGTCCTGTTTCTCTGACCGTAACTGAGTGGATGTTTTCTCTTCATCCTCTGGCACGGGAGCTGGCTCGGAGCTCGTCTTCCTGGCTGTGTGTTTCCTGGACGGGGCCGCCTTTTACAGCTGCTTTTTGTGTCTCTGCTTCTGTCTCCTTGAACCCCAGTC